AATTTCTGCCAATTTCCTTTAGATTTACCTTCAACTATGAACTGCAAGAGCCTGCCTAATTGGATACAATTGAAAGTGTTGTTAGGTTTGACCTCATATTATATGGTTTTTGGTAAATCTAAACCAAAAATCTCAAGAAAATTGTATAATGTATGGCCAGCCATAGAAAGCAAGCAATCGGCCACACATACACAGTTCATTCCTAGATTGTAAGCTCGAAAGAGCAGGGCCCTTGATCCCCTCATGTTTTGCATTGTATTGGTATTGTTCTGTCACATGTTCTGTCCCCCATTTGTAATGTACAGCGCTGAGCGAACTATTGGCGCTTTATAAATACTGTATAATAATAATAATAATATTAACCCCAATCAAGGACTGTGGGTATAGGATTATACCTTTTTTTTTTACTATGGTTGAACTGGATGGACTTTTGTCTTTTTTCAGCCAGACTAACTATGCAACTATGTAACTATGGCACAGATCTGCTTCCTCGACATTGGCGCTAGACAAACCTGCCCCGCTACTGATTGTCAGTACTTGCCTAAGCAGATGGAAACCTCTGGATGAGCAGAATAGGTTATATATCTAGAGCAGCATTTCTCAACCAGGCACCCTGGGGTGCCTTGAGGTTTCTCTGGGGTGCCTTGGCAAAATGTCTAAAAATTTCCCAAAATGTATATTTAAATTTTGGAACAAGCCTGCCTTTTAGTTACACAAAGCCAAAGGTTTTCATTGTGCATCATTACGACCTTCTAGCCGCCGGCTTCCTGACAGCCAATGACATCATCGGTTGATAAGGAGGATGTCAGCTGCCTGCACAGCATCCTATTTTGACCCTCCCCTGCCCCTCTCCATCAGTGTTGGGGTCACACTAGCTCAATGATGGAGAAAAACTGAGGGAGAAGAGAAACAGTGGAATACTAGTCAGTACCAGTGTGCAAAAGTGTATTTCTTTTGGAAGAATAAATCACCTCTAATGTTGGGTGTCCTACATGTGTGGATTTTGCTGCGTTATATAAAACTATTAGAGTAGTTTCACATTTTAGAATGGGGTGCCTCAAAACTGTCCATAATTTTAAAGGGTGCCTTGGGGCTGTCCATCATTTTAAAGGGTGCCTTGGGGCTGTCCATCATTTTAAACGGTGCCTCGGGACTGTTCATCATTTTAAAGGTGCCTTGACTGAAAAAAGGTTGAGAAACACTGATCTAGAGAGTGAACAGATAAGAGTTCTCCGTCTAGGCCTAAAGGAAAATAGAAAAAAAATTTGTATGCATTTTTGCATTTTTACAAATAAAATAAAGAGAAGTATAAAATAATGACACACACTTGCTCCCACATTGAAAATCATATCATGCGCTGCAGAGGAGATTATTAATAGCTCAGAATTTATCAACCTTTAACTGGAGTCTCCTGACCTTTACTGAAAAGTCTATCAATCCGCGGCATGAAAAGTCTTTCCCAGTCATTAACAAGCTCTCTGCTGTCGGCAGTGACCATTTCCTTTTCCATGTCATAACAACAATTCCCTGAAGGAAGTTCAGGTACTATGTGTCTGCTTTATGTGTACGTACCTTCTGGTAATGGGTAGGTACTGATAACCTTGTTTGTTCCTTCTCTCTCCTTGTCCTGTACTCATTATCCTTTAGCCGTAGCGGTGTTACTGTTGAACGTTCCCAGAATCCTTTTCTTCCTGTTATATGGAAAGCCATGATGCTGCACTATCACATGCATGTACCTATTTATTTATCTACACAAAGCCAAGAGATTTAAAACTTCTTCTGAGGGACTGGTCCCATTCATCTTTGAGGGGGATCGTAGCCTTTTAGCCTTTTTATAGTGACGCAGGCACACTAGAGTTGCTTTGGGCAGATGCATATAATATGGAGGAAGATTAGAGGAACTGAATTTATTCTTTCTTAAGAAGAGGAGATTAAGAGGAGATATGATCAACATGTATAAATACATCAGTGGTTCATATAGTGAACTCGGTGAGGTCATCACAGAGGATTAGGGGGCACTCTACTTCTGGAGGAAAGGAAATTTAATCTCCAAACACGGAAAGGTTTCTTCACAGTGAGAGCTGTGAAAATGTGGAATAGACTCCCTCAAGAGTTGGTTCTGGCCAGCTCAGTGGATTGCTTTAAAAAAGTCCTGGATTCATTCTTAGATACACAGAATATAACTGGATATAACATTTATAGGTAAAGTTGATCCAGGGAATATCCAATTGTCTCTCGGGGGATCAGGAAGGAATTTTTTTCCCAGCAGGAACAAATTGGATCATGCTTTGCTGGGTTTTTGCCTTCCTCTGGATCAACTGTGGGTATAGGATTATAGCTCTTTTTTTTTTTCAATGGTTGAACTGGATGGACTTTTGTCTTTTTTCAGCCAGACTAACTATGTAACATTGTAACTTACCTGTATGTCATTTGGCTTGCAGGAGAAAACTGGAGCATCCTAAGTAAGAAGAAAAACATGCAAGCCCCAAACAAATATTGTCCCTGGTGGGAAATGAGCCCAGAACACCTGCTATACAAAGACATATTAATAACTGCTATATCAACACACTGCCCAAATGAACATCATTGTTATACAGTTCCATAGCTAGGCCTAATTCACCTGGGCATACTACAGCCTACTGGAAATGAAAAATAGGAAGAAGGCGCACCAGCCTAGTGCATAAAAAAGCTTTAGTAAATAGAAGTAAAGCACTCAATTATACTCACAAAGAGAGAATGATCTCAGGCATTATACACAAAATGTCACCAGACGCGTGTCAGTCAGATAGGCACAGCTGACGCGCTTCAAAGGACATGCTCTATTCCTCAGAGCCAGCCTAAACTCATGAGAGATCATGTTCCTTGAAACATGTTAGCTGTGCCTATCTGACTGGCACGGCCGGGCGTTTGCGGAGCGGCACCATAGACTAGAATAGGAGGCTTCAATGCCTCCTGACTTGACCAGAGGCATCCGTTTTGACGCGACGCGACACTAACGCTCCCGTTAGAACAGCACCATGTGCTGCAATGTGCAGAATTGTCCGAGGCGTTTGGGAAGCGGTAAAAACACTTCCCAAACGCCTTTCTGCCGCCTGCACACAACGCTAGTGTGAACGTAGCCTAACATGGAATCTTTAAATGCTCCAATCAGAAATGAAAGAATGTGAGGGCCTATGTGAGGGATACCATTATTAAATTCTGCTATATTCCTGTCTGCTGTGGCAGTTTTCATTAAAACACGTAGTGATGTTCACCATTTGGTCTGAAATGTGTTAATTGCAGAGTTAAAAAACCCCAGTGACAATCACGTAGTTTCCTGGTGCTTAGATTGTTGTCTCCCAACCTGGAAAATCTCTACACAGGGTGAGATTGGGTGTGCAATGGTCACATTCTGATGGCAGCAGGGGCGGACGGACAACCCCATGGGGCCCACGGGCAATAGGGGATCATGGGGCCCCTGTGTCCTTGCCCAAACTCAAAAAAGCCTATGAAAAAGGTACCAGGGGCATCTCATGGTGCCCCCTACTGACCCCGGGCCCTCGGGCAGCGCCCGAGTTTCCAAATGGTCAGTCCACCCCTGGATGGCAGCATTTGGATTTGAAAAACGTATGCTAGTGAAATCACACTCTGTTCCTAACACGTAGCTGATGGCACAACTTGCATATTCTAAAATGAATTAAACTTAAACGTCACCATTTTTTTTAAATGGGTCCCCAGGACCTGTCAGCCATAATGTGCTATGGCTTAGCACAGCAATTAACACATTAGGGCAGACTTACTGTCAAATGATCCCCTCCAGCACTGTGCTACTGGCTACATGGGTGCTACCATCTTCTCCTTGTCTTCCTTCCAAGTTTGGTTTGTTCAGCCATTTGAATGGATGGCCACACTGATGGTAGTTCACTGAAGCTTCCTGTCAGAATATCTTCTTGCTCATACATCCCGTACGACAAGCAGATATTCTGACAGGTCTGCAGGAGATCTGCATCGCATCAACAATCTACTGATCACTGGTGCAATGCTTTCCAGGCTCCTGCAGACAAAAATAATAAATGCACATTTTTTTTACCAGCAAAAAAATGTTCATTTATTATTTTTGTCCAAAAAGGTGAACGTATCCTTTAAGTTCATTTCTGTTTTAATTGCTGATTGGTTGCAGTGTGTTATAGTAATTGGTATGCCTGAGCAATGTAAAGAAAAGTAACTGGTATTGTCATTTAAAATAAATAAAACGTAAAGGCTTAGTAAAAGTGTCCATTCGCTTGCTGTAATACTGCTATCGAGCCGCAATCCCTATTTTCCCAGATAAAAAAGCAGTAGTATACAATGAGCCTTGACACAAAACAAGACCTCTCCGACCTGTTTCCTCAAATAGATGTACATGCCAATTCAATTAGCCCATTCCGCGAGATAAGAACACTACTGCGCGACAGGACTTGCCTGGATGGAAGGAGTGATTGAGAATGGTGAGCACTAGTTATTACCAAACGACTGCTAACTCACACATTTATCTGTGTTTGCGGAATTTTCTGCTGCTTCACTACTCTCTTCCTAGAAAAAACACATTACAAAAAAAAAATCATTGAACATGTTACTGTATCAATAAAAATCCACTGCCAAAAGGTTCTGAATGTTCTGTTTTCACATTTCTCATCTTCTAGACCGAATGTCACAGGCATCAAAAGCTGTCCATTTTTAAAACATTAAAAGCTGAACTCTAGGCACAAATTATTACAGCATTGTATTATTAAAATACCATACTTATGGTAAGTAAACTTGAATCCGACTTGGTAGCAACATAGTGCAGTCCCTGCACAGCTTAGAATGGGGGAGAAGAAGCTACACAAAGAGGCCATAGTAGTAGTAGTAGTGTTCATGGGTTACCAAGCAGCATGCTGATAGGAGGAGGGAGCAGAGTGACGGAGAGATGAGCTTACCAGTCTGCTGCTTCTCCTATCACAGGTGAGGGGTGTGAAGGAGATCTGTAAGGGCCTGGTGCATTGTGATACATGATATGCAGTCTTTGAAAACTTATAACGTGCTTATAGTGCTGTTTAATGCATTGCGTTAAAATTTAATGTATATAATGCGTTTTACATGCATTTTCATCCATGGTCAGCTGCAGGGGGACCATTTTGGCCTCTTGGGCGCTGCCCAAGGGCCTGGGGTCTGTAGGGGGCCCCAAGATATGCCCTTTCATAGGCTTTCTTGGGTGAAGTTTGAGTGTGGGCTAGGGCACAGGGGCCCCATGATCCCCTATTGCCTGGGGGCCCCATGAGTTGTCAGTCTACCCCTGGTCAGCTGAGAAAAATTGACATATAACTCAAAAAAACACACCAAAACCACATTTTTTATGTACTTCCATTGACGTTATTTGAAGGTGTATTTTTAGTGTGTTTTTCAAATAGAGCACCAAAGATGCAGCAAGCAGAACTTTTTAAAAACTTAGAGCACTTAAAAACAAAGAATTTAAAAGAAACTATTTTTTCAATTTTTTTTGTACTGGAACGGTACATTTTAGCAAGACAAAAGCGCACCAGTGTGAACAGGGCCTAAGTGATACTCCAATGCAGCAGAGAAAAATGAGGTCCTCTTCCTGCCAGACAGGGCTGTGCTGAGTTGTGCAAATCTCAGGACTGGATGGACAGATGTACAAACCCTTTGGCACCTAAAACAGTTCCTCTGTATGTATAAAACCTCCCATGGAACTATAATTGCATGAAAAATCCAAGATGCTGGTTGTACCCAAGTCGTACAACAATCAACTTGGATACAGTTAGCCTGCCTATAGATGGTTCGAATTCTGGACAGTCCCTGCCAGGGGCGGACTGACAACACATGGGGCCCCCGGGCAATATGGGATCATGGGGCCCGTGTCCTTGCCCAAACTCAAAAAAGCCTATGAAAAAGGTACCAGGGGCATCTCATGGGGCCCCCTACTGACCCCAGGCCCTCGGGCAGTGCCCAAGTTTTCAAATGGTCAGTCCGCCCCTGGTCCCTGCTGGAACCAGCCAGGATTCAAACCATCTATGGCTGGCTTTAAGGTGTGAGTTAGATTAGTGCAGTTAATTTAATGTTCAGTTTTCACTGAGATGTACCTTTAAAGCGACTCTGGTAATAAAATAAGATAGCCAAAACAAGAGCCCGTTAAGAGGACTGTGAATCCCAAAGAACCAGATACTTTTGAGTTGATATATTGGTCTCCTGCTGCAGTCAGTGGTTTAATCTGACAGCTCCTTCAATACTACGGTATCCTATAGTAAGGTAGGGGTCAACAGGAGGAACCACAGTGTGCAGTGGGGGGGACCAGGAAACCAATGCTTTTGGAAGTGCTGCATTCTGGAGAGTTTTTGGATGCCTGATTCTCTTCATTACAGCAGCATTCACCAGAGCAGAGAGAGGTGGGTCATTCATTCCAAGGACTTTTTTTGCAGTTTTATTTTAGCAACAGAGCCATTTTAACTCCATCGCATGGGTAGAATCATGTGTAGGACCAGGAACCTAATGCTTTTGGAAGTGCTGCATTCTGGAGAGTCTTTGGATGCCTGATTCTCTTCATTACAGCAGCATTCACCAGAGAGAGGTGGGTCATTCATTCCAGGGACTTTTTTTGCAGTTTTATTTTAGCAACAGAGCCATTTTAACTCCATCGCATGGGTAGAATCATGTGTAGGACCAGGAACCTAATGCTTTTGGAAGTGCCGCATTCTGAAGAGTCTTTGGATGCCTGATTCTCTTCATTACAGCAGCATTCACCAGAGAGAGGTGGGTCATTCATTTCAGGGACTTTTTTTGCAGTTTTATTTTAGCAACAGAGCCATTTTAACTCCATCACATGGGTAGAATTTTGTATTACTCAATCAGGTCTTGTTATTTTTGGTGACAGATGCATTCTTACAGCCAGATGTGTGTCACAGGTGCACTCCTTTATCAATAGCCGAATAATTTCAAAATTATCAACCTTTTTCCCACAGTACAAGCTGCCACAGAATTAAACAAAATCGCCTATTTGTACAACCCAGCATCTGTCCAGAATTTCTAAAATTACGATTTGTCCACTCTCTCACTTACAAGAGTAGAAAAAAAAAGGTTTTATGAAATAGTATTATGTCTGAGACGCACCACTCTCACCATGATATTGTATTGTGTGCATTTGTCGAGTGCCTCGGAAGAGATTTCTGGAAATATACTTTACAAATTGTATCTGGAGACAGCGGTAGCATTTCATCCTCTGCAAATTGTTTGATGCCACCTACCTACTTCAAGAAGTTTCAGATCTCTTTAGGACAGATATAACTGCCAGCTAAACTTTAACTACAGCCATACCCAGATTCCATCTGTGAGACAGCAGGTGGGCCTGTGAGACCCTCAGTCCTGCTGGGAAACTACCAGCTGTTCCCACGAATGTTTAGAAGCTTGGATAAATTAACAAACACTACACAGGCCTGTCAATTGAATCATTTCCCGATTCTCCGAAATCAAGATAAGGCTAGCTGAAGCACAGAGTGTGTACCGTGCAGTCAAATATGCTTCTACCTAAGCTCCTATCTACATGTTTCACAAGGGCTGGAGGATGAGGAGTTTTAAATGTTTGCTTTGTATTAAATTAGAACTGAGATGAGTTTTTTTTCGAGATAGTCTCATAGGAGGAAAAAACATCTAAATAACATGTAGTTTCTGAACCGGTTTTCAACAACATATAGATATTGAAAATTATTATTATTATTATACAGGATTTATATAGCGCCGACAGTTTGCTCAGCACTTTACAATATAACGGGAGACCCTACAGCAACAATACAGTTCAATACAAGAGGGATAGGAGGGTCCTGTTCCTTGGAGCTTACAATCTAGGAGGGAGGGGCTAGTGGTACAAAAGGTAGTAACTGTGGGGGATGGACTGGTTGGAAGAGTAGAAGATTCCATTATTAGCTGAGGACAGGATAGGCTTCCTTGAGATAGGTTTTCAGAGATCACCTAAAAGTGAGCAGAGTAGGCAATAGTCTGATAAATTGGGATAGAGAGTTCCAGAGTATGGGGGAAGCTCTGGAGAAGTCCTGGAGATGAGCATGGGAGGAGGAGACAAGGGAGCTAGAGAGTAGGAGGTCTTGCAAAGAGCGGAGAGTACGGTTTGGGTGATATTTGGAGACAACATTGGTGATGTAATTTGGGGCAGAGTTATAAATGGTTTTATATGTTATTGTTAATGTTTTGAATTTTATCCATTGGGCAATGGGAAGCCAGTGGAGGGACTGGCAGAGAGGGGTGGCTGATATAGAATGGAATTGGCAACCTTTTCATAGTGTTCCTTATCCACCTTAGCCTTTGCGACGTACTGTACACCACAAGTTTGAAGTGGTTATACCAGCATTATGTCTGCAGCTACAGTATCTTTATCTTTTTTTTTTGCCAGCTGTGGGCTTTAATGTAAAAGTGATCCTAGCTGCTAATTAGCCGCTGTATAACTTTTACAAGCAGCAGGAGGGGGTTTGTCAGCAAGTTTCAGCCAATGATTTTGGGTGAAACCTGCTGATCGGCTGTGGTCAGTCACAGCAAACACAAAGAGCTCTGTGTAAACAGAACAGCGATTTAACTGTTTCTTCTCCCTGAAAAGCAGGAGAGGGGCGGCAGATACAGAGCGGTTAGCAAGGTGGATGAGTCTGGCAGCAGCATTCATGATAGACTGAAGAGGGGATAGCCTGCGATTAGGTCGGTCCAATGAGGAGGGAGTTACAATAGTCAAGGAGAGATATAACAAGGGAGTGAATAAGTTGCTTAGTGATTTCCGAGGTTAGGAACGGACGTATCTTGGAGAATAAACATACATTTTGGAATACAGTACAATTTTAAAATGATCGCCAGATTATTTAATCATTATTTGAAAATGCTTATGCTCCTTCACTGATTCTCATATGCCCAATCTCTACCTGCGAGTCACCTATACACCAAGTAGCAAAAAACGCTTATGATCTTCTATTCTGACTCATATTTGTCCTAATCAGTATTTCTCAACTTTTTTACCCCAGAAGAACCTTCAAAATAATTTTCAGGTCTAAGGGAACCCCTGCTAAAACCAATTTATTGGTGACCAGTGGACAAAATGCCCCTTAGGCTGGCCATACACTATACAATTTTCTGTCCAATTTCCTTTAGATTTACCTTCAACTATGTAGCACAAGGGCCCGCCTAATTGGATACAACTAAAAGTGTTGTTTAGGTTTGACTTCATATTATATAGTTTTTGGTAAATCTAAAGCAAAATTCCCAAGAAAATTGTATAGTGTATGGCCAGCCTTACATTGGTGGCTAGTGAAAAGAATGTCCTCCTTACAGTGGTGATCAAAATGACACTATTATTATTATTATTAGTATACAGTATTTATATAGCACCAAAGGGTATGCTCAGCGCTGTACAGTAGCAAGGGGGACAGAACATGAGACAAGACAGTAACAATACAATATACGAGGGGTTCGTGGGCCCTGCTCTTTCGAGCTTACAGTCTAGGAGGGAGGGGAAGGTGGTACAGGAGGAAATGGCTGTGGGGGATGGAGTGGTGGGAGGAGTGGAGGAGGTTAGTTGTTAGGTGAGGTCGGGTGTTAGGTGAGGTTGGGGTAGGCTTCCCAGAAGAGGAGGGTTTTCAGGGTGCGCCTGAAGGTGAGAAGGATAGGTGACAGTCTGATGGATTGGGGTAGGGAGTTCCAGAGGATGGGGAAGTCCTAAAGAAGTCCTGCAATTGGGCGTGGGAGGAGGAGACCAGGGAGCTAGAGAGCAGGAGGTCCTGTGAGGAGAGGAGGGCACGGGTAGGGTAGTATTTGGGTATCAGGTCGGTTATGTAGTTTGGGGCAGCGTTGTGAATGGCTTTGTAGGTCAGAGTTAGCAGTTTGAATTTGATGCGTTGGGCAATCGGGAGCCAATGAAGGGATTGGCAGAGGGGGGAGGCAGATGTGGAGCGGTTGGTGAGGTGGATGAGTCTAGCCGCTGAGTTTAGGATCGACTGGAGTGGGGATAGCGTTCGTTTGGGTAGGCCAGTGAGAAGGGAATTGCAATAGTCCAGGCGTGAGATGATGAGGGAGTGTACGAGTTGTTTGGTGGTGTCTGGGGTGAGGAATGTGCGTATC